TATCAAAGTATGTCTATATTTCAGAACTTACTTAGGGGCCAGGGATTTAGCACAGTGGCGTAAGTGCCTGCCTGGTAAGTAAGAGGTCATGAGTTCGATCCTCAGTACCAAAAAAAAAAAGAACTGAGTTTAGGTTATTTTCTTTAACAGAGTGAATTACCTAGTTTCTAAACTTTTCCTTCCTTACTGCTAACATTCCTCTACTACAGTACGGAAGGACTGTCATTACACAACAAAAACTTTAGAGGCAGCAGCTGGGCACAATGGTGCCCACCTGTAAAATCCTGGCACTCTGGGAACTGGGGTAGGAGGATTACAAATATGAGCCCAGCATGGCAACTCAGTAAGACCCTGTCTCCAATGACTCCATAAATAAAATTAAAAGGACTAGGGGGCACAGCTGGTACAAAGGCCTGGGTTCAATCCTCATTACTCCACAACAAAACAACTTTTTTTTCAGAACCAGCATATATCTAATTCACCTACTCCATTTACTTTCCTCTGTCCACATTTCCTCCTCCTATATCCAGTGACACCTACACACAGGCATTTCCGAGCTATCTTAAAGAGTCACCGTTTCACTTGGCTACGCCCTCTCTGCTCACTCCTCAGCGCGGTCAGCATTTGGCTTCACAGCATGGCTGCTCCACCTAGCGGCGGAAGTTATTCAACCATCATCTCCTTTCAACACAGCCCCACCATGGTCTCACCGACTCTAACACAGGATAAGAACAGACGCCTCAGTGAAAACATTTTCTAAGCGTTCATCCACCATTTCTAAATCATATACCTCGTTCCCCATATGTCAAACGCAACTAAGGTACATGCAACAGGGGAAATACATGCTGTAAAACATTCAACCGAGTATCTGCAACATAGCTGTTCTCGCCCTACCCCTGACTACTCTTCACTGTCACCCTATTTAATGAAGTCACACTAATCCTCACTGACTCTGTTTTCCTCCAGTCTCCTGTTGGATCAAATCCCCACCCTACAGGCCTTCTTCCTCCTCCACCTGACCTTTCCCTGCTCCCAGGAGCAGCAGCCTCCTCATTCAAGTCAATCCTAAAGTCTCGAACCTGAGTTAAGCACCCCCCCACCCTTTCTTTACCCCGCAGAACCCCGAGTTGGAGTTGTACTCTGCCCTAAATCATACCCATCCTTCCCGGTGTATTTAAGATACAAACTCTACAAACCTTAGCTAAAAGCATGCTTCTCTTCCTTTAAGTCCATACAAACTTTTAAGTTATCTCAGGACCTTCCCAGTTACTTTATTTGTACATAAAGCACTTTTACATGAGCAAAGTAGTCTGCAATCTTGAGGCCCATGGACTTTGTTTTTAGCTTCTAACTATACCACAGCAGACCTGAGACACTAAAATCTTAGCAGTCTTTAGTTCAACACATACGCACATCTCCAAAGCCTAAAGCAGTAATAATTTTTATTCATTTTCTTAAACAAAAAAATATGGTCAAGTAACCAAGTAAAATACTTAAAAAAAATGCTCTGATGAGGACAGAATTCTAGAATTTCTGAAAGAAAGGAAATTAAAAACAGTACAATATATTGTTTTGAGAAAACAAAAACACGTCATTGAATCTTTTTTTTTTTTTTTTTTTCCTATTGGTACCGGGGATCAAACTCACGACCGTGTGCTTGCAAGGCAGGCACTTATGCCGCTGAGCTAAATCCCCAGCCCTGAATCTTTTTTTTGTTGTTGTTACACAGCGTCTACAAAGTAGTGTGGGCGGGCCTTGAACTCACGAGGTAGCCCAGTCTGGTCTCAAACCCTCATGAACCTTCTGCCTAAGCCTCCCAAATGCTGGGATTACAGGTAAGTGCCACAACGTCCAGCAATCTGTTGAAGAATCTTAAGGGCTGGTGTTCTTTAATTAAAAGAGGGATCATACTAAGGACATTTAAAAATAGTTAACATATTAATATGTATGTGCCCACCAGCTTCAGCAATTTGGTGGTCCATGTGTCCTGGGAGCAAGACACACAAATTACAGCTCCATAAAGAATGTGTTAATTTGTACACACCTAATGTACATGCATGACTACTCAAATGATCCCTTTGTTGTGGGGCAAGAGTTGAGAAGGTCTCGCTACACATTCCAGTCTGGTCTCGAACTCAGTGATCCTCCTGTGCAAGGACCAATGTGCCGTGGTTTCAGGCCTGCGTGCACCACCACACCCAGCAATCAATCGGTTCTTTCTCAACCTTCCTTTGCTCTCCGGAAGGGGCACATTTTTTTCCTCACATGCTGTTCCTAGATCCCTACTCTTTCAATCTGCAGAAATACTCACAGCTTCCTGGTCACGGGCAGGTTAGCTGTCTAATTTTCACTTTAGACCAGCTATTGTCCATATATTTTAAAAAACAAAAAACACTGCCCATAAAAGACCCATTGGCTTCTCTGTCATCCTGTGAGGACAGAAGCATGTGTCCATCAAATGGCACTCACAAGCTGCTGGACAGCATTCCAAGTCTGTTACACAGGTCTCTGTTGTGGTATCTGCAAACCCTTGGGCCACAGTGGCTTCAGCTTTATCCTGTTTGCTCAACACCACTTCATGAGTCCACTCAGCTTTACCATAAGCTCCCTGGAGCTTGCATAACTTGGCAGGTTCAAAGTTAAGAGTGGAGGACTTACATCAATGGAGTCTAACCAACAGAATCCCCCACATCCATGAGAAGGTTGTTTACAATGTCTAAGTAGCTTCTAGGCATCACCTCCTCTTTAGCTGAAGCAAAAAGATGTCCCAAGCAGGGGGAGAGAGTGTACTAAAAGCTGTTAGAGAACCACACTAAAAGATCCAGGCTTTCCTCTGTGGCTCTGGACTATAATCCAACACATAATTATCACTATCAGCTAAATAATATAGTTTCATATGATGGATGAGAAGAATCTAGGTCACCTAGAATCTTAAGGGTAAGAATAAATTTTAAAATATCATTAGGAACATCTACTTCAAATGCCCCATCCCCTCATAAAGTCAGAATGTATATTATTCACTATAAATGCATTCTCTTGATGGCCAAAGGCACAGTTCCATTTTGGGCACCAAATACATCTAAATGCTTTGCCTCAAAAATTAGTCAAGGTAGATGACAACTCACAGGAGTATCTACTAAGAGCTGCTAGACCTAAGGATGACATGCTCAGCAGGTCACCAACGAGGAAGACACAAGGAAAAGAGGGTTTTGACAATAATTACGACAAAACAACAGATGTCACATAGGAAACGGGGAAATACGCTCTACCAGTAGCAGAATGGAGCGCTGGTGAAGTATTCACCCAGCTCTTTCTGATCCAGGTGACCCAGGGCAGCCCACACCTGAGGTATGGTTACTGAGAGCATCCCGACTTCCTCAAAGAATCGAGTTCTTTCCCTGGTCATATTCTCTGATTGGCTACCTTGGATGCAAGGTTATCTCACTGTCCTCTCACCCACTGGTTCCCATCCAGAAGAGGTTGGTCTCTCTGCCATAAACAGCCAGTCTGGTTACTACTGTGAGCCATCAGAATTAACAGGTGCCTTGATCACGCTCTGCCACCAAAATCTAAGGCGTCTTAAAAACCACCAGTAGCTTCTATCCTGGTAACTCAGGGTTCTTTGCACACAAATGATTTAAGACCATCTCGAAGGCGCCACATCACTACTGCCGTGTGGTCCTGAAGCTAATTCACATCAACAGCCTATTCAGGCACTAACCCAAGGCTTCCAGTGCCACTGCTCTGAATGGACCTCGCCCCTAACTTCCTTCCAGAGCTGTGCTCACTGCCTTGGAGCTACCAAGCAGGCTTCACAACTGCCGAGGTGTTTCCAAGAACACCCACTGCCCCCCACCTTTGCTGGCGACAGCCACCATGGGCCCAATAATGTGGCTGACTGACTTCTGCCGTGCCAAAGCCTTCACACCACTACGGAAGCAGTGATGGCTCATTGAGCTGCCACTAGCACTTCTGTAAGCCACAACCAAAGGAGTCCCCAGAGCCCCTGCCCCTACAGGTCTGTCACAACACACCCACCAGGGAACAAGATCTCCTTGAAAAGTTTGGACACAGCCCCAGGCCCAGCCTTCTAACACTACAGTGCTGATCTCTAAGACAACTTCCAACAGGCTGGCCAACCCACAAGTCAGACTCTCTCTTGGGATTCAAGAAGCTTTTGTTACCTGTGAGAGCCAACACTGCTGTGCACACAGATGTGGCAACTCGTAAGACTGCACATTCAGAAATGCCTTGCTAGACAGCTCTCCTCAGACATTTGTCCCACTCTCCCAGAAGTTTACTACAAGTTAACAGAAATGCTTGCGACCAGTCACAACCTTTCCAGAGGTTCAAGCAGTGTCACCAGAGAGCCACCCTAGGCTGATCCGCTCAGGTCCCATGAGGACAAACATTGGTGCATGGTAAAAATGATAGATGCTTATGAGCCAACCACTATGCCAAAAATTGCTTATCAAGAAATATCACACATGCATGTGCATGCACACACCACAAAAAATAACTCAACAAAAGGGATCAGCTTGGCTGGCTAACCACCAACTCACTCACAGAAGGCCATGCAGAAGAAAGCGATCAGCAAGCCCACAGAAGACAAGGCCAGGATGAGGCAAGACAGACGCGAAGGTGTTATTCCAGTCATCCCTTAACAGAGACAGGCAGCCAGAGTTACTTGGTAAGAAAAGTTATTCCTAGAAACAAACTCCCATGTACTGGGTTAAAATTTCTCTGCAACTGTATTCATCAGGGCTTCAGTCATAAGCAAGGGGATAAGGAACAAAGCCATACACAAAGAGGATTTTGTTTTGTTTTTTAAATAGTAGCAACAGAGAACTTTAATAACAGTAACCCAGGAAAACTACAGCTATAAAAGTTATTAAAAGAAAAGAAAGGACTAGCAGAAAATAATTCAGAACAGCTAATACAATCAAAGCACTGCCAGAGGAGGGTGCTAAAAACACCCAATGCTTCCTTCGATACTGTACCTTATCAATGGCTTTTCCAACCCGAGAAACACTGCTGTGGATGTCTTTGTGGTCTGAAGCCAACTTCTGAACGGTATCCTTTATTCTTTTACAGCACTGTGTCAAAACAAGTGAAAGCGTCCCTGATAATTCGGCATCTTGGCCTATTAAAAAGAAAAGGAGGACTGGTTACTTATGAAAGGTAGTTTCAAATAGACCCTCTGGAACATTAAAGATGGGAGAAAATGAAGAAAAAAATAAAAAACCAACCCGGTTATCTGCTTTGAAGCAGATGGTCACATTCATAGACATTATATTTTCAAGTGAATCCTAAAAAAAACTTAATTTATATTTGGAAATAAGAAAACTTTAGCATGAAATAAAGTACTTTATAATTGAAACAAACAGCACAAATTGTGACTACTGTGAATGACTTTCTATGAACTTACTAATCAACTCAGTTTAAATGTTTAAGTCCCAAAACATTGTGGTTGTTATCAAATTTCTGAAAGAGAGGATTTGGTTTATATACTTTACATTCCACATAAAAAACTAACAGAAGCAATACCAAGTAGACTTTTCTGCTTCTATCAAGTAGAAAAGAATTAACAGAGCAGGCCTGACACCGCACTTCTCAAAAAATCCTGCATGCCACCATTCCCTCTAACTGAGAATGGTTCACTGTAGCCAGGTGCAGTGGCACATTCCTTTACCCCCAGCACCCTGGGAGGCTGAGGCACGAGCACCACAAGTCCAAGTCCGAAGACTCTCTCAAAGATCCTGTGTTCAGTTCCCGGCGATCTCCAGCTCACTCTATACCTGAACTGCTGTACAATGTGGCTCATGATGAACACTTGCTTCTCTGAAACTCTGGTCCTGCATGACCAGCCCTCAATAAAAACCCCAAGCAATGAGCTTCTATTTGTCACAACTTGTTGCTGGAGGGATTAAATACATCCTGTGCACTGCACTGCACTGGAATAGAACCCGGGAACCTTTCTTCTGGTTTCCTCTGGACTTTGTCCTGTGACCCTTTTCCTTTTGTATCCTTTTGCTATCATAAATCTGCCAATATGCTGAGCTGTCAAGATCTTGAAACTTGCTGAGACTTAGGGTGATACTGGGACCTCATTCATGATAAAGCTACTGAAGGTTACTGCAGTTTATAGTCCTTCCCTGTGCTGTCTCCTTCCAAACAGTTCATCTAGCAGGAAAAAATAAATACAAGAAGAGAACAAAGAGAGACAAGTCCAGCTCCATATCCCCATCAGTATTTCAGAAAGCAACTCCATATTTAAGCAATGGTTCTTAAACTTGAATTTACGTCTGACTCACCAGCAGGCCTAGTTAAAAATAGTTGGTAGCTGGACTCTCACTCCCAAAGTTTCTGACTCAATTGGTGTTGACCAGAGTTTTTTCATTTAACAAATATGTACTATGTAACAGGGACAGCACTCAAACAGAATAACCAAAAGTTCCTGCCTTTGGGATTTTTGCAGTGAAACAATTACTAAAACTCTCTTAACTTCTGGCCATAGCACAACAAGAAAATTACACAGTATGAGGAAAGATGGTACAAGGTCTTGTGAGGGGTGCAGGGGCAGTGGGTTCAATGACCAAAAACAGGGTGGGTGGACATAGCAGACCTCCAGGAGTAAATGACATTTGAGTGCAAACTTCAAAGCAATAAAGGAATTACTTTCTGAGGGGCTACCTTGGGGGCAAGCATTCCAGGGGGAGGGGACACAAACCCTCCTACTGGACAGTATAAAGTCGACTTCTGGGCAATGAAAACCAGGAGGGCAGGTGCTACAGTCACTGGGGGCCGAGAGCTTTTTGGCACTGTGAGGACTGTGCTTTCATGTTGAGTGGGAGGGAGATCCACCATGAGGGTCTAAGCACTGAAGTACACAAAGGGACAACGTTTTGGTACAGCCCCTCCTCTGTAGGAGCAGGAGGCAAGGCAGGAGGCGGTGGCCACAGCAATCCAGAGCACCTTGGCTTAGGTCGGCCTGCCTGCATCTAAGGAAGAGAAGTGCTCAGCTATGTCTCCCATGGTTTGTAGCCTGATCCAACTACAAAGATTTTGAAATTGTTTCTCATTAAGATGAGAAAGGTTGAGCAGGTCTGAGGCATCGGGAAAGCTAAAAAAATCTCAATTTGGAGGGGTCTGTTGAACTTGCACCGCAGGGGAAATGTGGGTGTCAGATGAAGATACAACTTGCAGCTCAAGAGCAGTATCAGTGCTTAGAGACAGGAATCTGAGTCACAAATCTGAGACACACAGATAAATGATTCTTGAGGTCACGGGACTAAAAGAAACGACAGAGTTGGGTTAGGGTTAGGGCCAAGGGCAAGCTAAAGTGGGACTGGATAAGGGGACTAACAAGCTGGGTGTGGAGTGCACGCCTGTGACACCAGCACTAGGGAGGCTGGAGCAGGAGGAGGCCACACAGTGCAACCTTGCCTCAAAAAGCCAAAAGAAAGTACAGCAGCGTGGCAGGAAGAACCAACTCTGTTAAATGTGCTGTTCAGTCAAGTGAGAAATGAACTGAATCCTAGCCCTGGTCTGAAATGAGATGTGGGAATTGTCCATAATAATGAAAGAAACCTTGTAGAGACTGGGTGTGTTGGCACACATCTGTATCGCCAGCTGCTCAGGAGGCCAACACAAGAGAAATGCTGGAGGCCAAGACTTTGGGACCTAACTAGGTAACTAGGTGAGATCTCATCAGCAAGAAAAGAAATCCTAGCTGACTTCCGGGAAAACATGGTGGGCAGATAGCAGCAACTACCGGAGGCTCTCTGAAAGGTTCGGCTCAGAAGTCAGGAATGGTGCGGACTAAGGAGACATAAGCCGGTAGAGATATGCTCTACTGACTCAGGAACGAACTGAGCTGAGAAAAACCAACTTGGAATGCAGTCCTGGCGCTAAAATAGGAACAGAAAAGACTCGGTGTGGAGGCTGGACCCCGCGCCATTGGAAGCCGCCATTTGGGTTTCCCGTCGCTCGGCGGCTGGCTGCCTCTACATCCGCTTGGCAAGGAGAGAGACGCACAGAAGCTCTGTGAACGGGAGTCTGGGACCGGAGTCGAAAACAGGACGGACAGGGAGGCGTGCACTGAATTGTGGTGAGGTGAGTGAGAGAAACTGACCCCCTACCACAGTTTGACTCCAGCGGAGGACTTTCTGGGCTCGGGCAGTCCTGCAGGAGCAGGGCGCGGTGGCGACTCCAGCCACACATTCCCTCTCGGACGGGATTGGTGAAAAGTGCCTGGCCTGCGTGACGCTGCTGGCGGACTCGGTAGGCTGGCCCAACCCAGATCCCAGAGCCTGACAGTGGCCCAGAGGGGCGACTCCCGCGTAGGCTGCCTCGTCCATAACTCCCTGTTGCGCAGTGGTGGGCGGGAACACCTAGCCAGCGCAATTCGATCAGGCTGTGGCTGACAGGCAGAGAAGCTGGGCCTCCTATGTAAGCTTGCATATATATAAGGAAAAGAGAATATGGGAAAAGGCAGCAACAAGAAAGGCTCCTCGGCCCCCAATTCTGAGAAACAGGCAATAGCGGACACCGCACCAATAGACATAAAGCGCCATATAGAGAGCCTCATAGACCAATTCAGGAATGAAGTTATCAACGACCTGAAGCTAGAAGTATGCAGAATAGTTAGAGAAATGCTAAGCACCACCCAGGAAAAAACAGATGGTGGAATGGAAGAACAGAAAAAGAGGGGAGAATTGTTTGATGGAGAAAACAGAGAAAGCATAGAGTACGTGAAGCAGGTTCAAAGGGACTATCAAGAAATTAAGAAGTCTATCCAAGACTGGCATAACAGCTTGAAAGAAACTAAGGACAGACTATCTGAACTGGAGGGCAGACTTGTAATATGGGAGAATGAAATGAAAAACTTCTTAAAAATAACAAAGAAACAAACAGCAATAATACAAAGACAAGAAGATGATAAGAGGAGCCATAACTTAAGGATTAAGAACATAAAAGAAGAAGTAGGGACACAAACAAGTGAACTACAAAAGCTACTCACAGAAATAATCCAGGAGAATTTTCCTAATTTAGCAAAAGGTAAAGATACTCAGATGTATGAGGCATATAGGACCCCAGCCACCTACAACCCAAACAGAGAAACACCCAGGCATATAATAATAAAAATTCCAGAAATTCAATACAAGAACAGAATATTAAAAGCTGTAAGAGACAAGAAACAGACCACTTACAAGGGAACACCCATCAGAATTACAGCAGATTTCTCTGCACAAACCATCAAATCACGAAGAGCGTGGGGGGAAATAATTCAAGCTTTGAAAGATAATAATCTCCAGCCAAGATTGAGATATCCTGCACAACTGTCCCTGGAAATTGACGGAAAAACAAGGTGCTTCCAGGATAAAGAGGAACTGGGGGAATTTGCAACCACCAATTCAACTCTACAGAAAGTATTGCAGGATATTCTAAAAAAAGAAAAATACAAAGAACCCAGAAATAGTGGCGGGGAGGCCACAACGAATGGAGCAGAGAACAAAATGAAGAAGACAAACTGACAGCTACTGACAGAAAAAGAGCTCAACAGAAATGAGACAGAGAAGATTGGATGATAGGAACAGCTATTTTGGAGAAAATGACATCTTAATAGGTAATACTGATTTAGTATCATCTTGTTTTGAAGTCTCATCTAGCTTTTGTTCTTCTGTCTCCAATGGTCTAAACAGGTTGTATCTTATTGGATTTTATTATGTATGATAGTATAAGCACAAACCTTTTAAAGACAAGGAGATTATACAGAGGCCATTGTTCATTTTCTATTAGTCGATTCTAAATACTCTGTAATGCTGTCATTCTCTTAAATGGTTTTACATTGTTTCGATATACTTAATGCTACAGTATATGAAGTTGTACTCAAGGACTTCAAGGAAAGAGTCAATATGGTAACTACTTTTGGGTCGGAATTATCTGGTGGTGAAACACTATTCTGCTTAAATGGTTATGTTTTGATCTGCGCTGTTTCGCTGTTATGCCCTCTTTTTTCTCAATCTCCACTCCATTATTTACTTTTTTATTTTTATCCGTTTAATTAAAGGGAAAAAATAGCAGGATATAATACAGTAACCCACTTTGACTTTCTATTATCTCGATTTGAAGCCCTGTATT